ATGCTGCAGAGTTTGTGATTACTGAAGGATATTGCACTCTATTTCTAGGACCATTTTCAACAAATACGAGGAGCCAAATGTTAATTTGTCAAACACAATTCACACTGGCCACCATAGCTATAGATGTATGGTGTACATGGATTCTAAAGATTAGGGCTTATAAAAGGCAACATAAGTAACTAGCTGTGTACCACACAATCTTTATAAAATGCAGCAAAGAATACATGGGACAAATCAAATAGGTAAAATCTGGACACAAAGCCACCATGTGAATAGAATGCATTGCAGCCATGATTAGTTACACTCCATTCAAGTACCACTTGAACAGTACGTTTTATTCACAGGGGACATTTTAAAAGGTTTGCCAATTAACACAGCTGAGCTCTGAACCAGAAAACCGGGAAGACATAACCTGCTAGTAATTGGTGAATTGGATAATAGAGCTCTATTCTCTGAGCAGTTAAGGTGCCCATACACCTTACAATTATCTGCAGATTTTCTGCGGTCAGATTGAAAAAGTGCAACAGATTGGCCCAGGTGGAGATGACTCCATCCACACAGTTAAGTGTAGATGGAGGAATCTTTTCCACCTTTTCCATCTGACCATAGAAAATCTGCAGATAAATTGTAAGGTGTATGGCCAGCTTTAGCCAAATTGCAGGGTTGGGGATGCAGAGATACACCTTGGTTATACACAGACCCAGGATTTCCTGTGGCACAATAACCAGCAATTAGGTTTCCGATCGGTTGGTTTTCTTAACATAATCAATTAGGACCCCATACAGCCCAATCCACTGAGCAACCATGCTGAGGATGTGTCCACAGAAGAGCTTGTGTCATTAATTGATTAAAATGATCTTCCAGTCATTACAGTGGCTGTGCAGACCAATAAGCGTTTCCCAGCATCTTGGGATAGACTTTCCTGTACACTGGGATATACCGATGGATTTAGGAACACGATTTTCCTGTGCTCTGGCAGATCTATGAAAATGGCAACAAGAGTCACTGTGTGCCTGTTGGTAAAAAGGAACTTTGAGGGTTGGCCATATCAGAGCTACCATTGTGGACTTTATGAATGCTTATCCCAGGCCAGGATTAGAAGAACAGCATTGGAACATGGTGGTTCAAGGGCAGCAACTAAGGAGAAGATTGACAGACCAGGACCATGCAGCACTCATTGTTCCATGCCCATTCAGGTACACTACGGCATTTGAAGAACCCAGGGCTGGACAAATCCCAGGACCCAGGTAGCCAATGCGCCTTAGAAATCACAGCTGG